TGTGTGTGTGTGTGTGTGTGTGTGTGTGTGTGTGTGTGTAATTTTACCAATTTAAATATGCTAACTTTCAATCTCATTGGATGTCCCCTGATTCTTTTATTATGAGAAAGGGTAAGTACAAGCACCCATTTTTTCTTCTCTGCGCCATTCATTATTTTCTATATATTTATCATGTCCCCTCTTACTTATTTCCTCTCTAAAGTCTGAGTCTTTCAATCTTTCCTCATACACAAATCTTTGCAAGCCTCTCATAATTTTTGTCATCTATCTCTAAACCCTTTTTATTTCTGCTATATCCTTTGAAGATATGGTGACTGAAACAAAACATATTATTCCAGGTGTGAGCAAACCATTGATTTGTATAATATTTTATAGAAATCCTAATATCTTGGTTACCTTTGAACATGGCTGCACATTGAGTACAGGTCTTAATTAAGCTGTCTATAATGATCCACATGTCTTTGTCCTGCACTGTTACAATTAATATAGAGCCTACTAATGTGAAGGAGTAATTCCGATTAATCTTTTAGATGTGCATTGAATTTTATCTGCTTTGTGTTGCTTGTTCACCAACTTCATTAAGTCCCTCTGAAGTGCCTCATAGTCTTCACTGACCTAATAATTTTGTGTCATCTGCAAAAATTTTATTTCAGTGGGACTTAAGCACATACTTAAAGTTAAACATGCATAAGTCCTGTACTGAACAGGAATGCTTTCCGAATTGGGGTCATCTTGATGAAAGGGTCCATATCACATTACCTGTCCCCTGAGTAGGCCAGAACCTGATGCAATATTTTTGCTTTTCTAGATTCTGGCTAGATTAGCTGTTCCAAGTAAAATATTTGAAATATAAGTTAAAAAGTGAGATAATGTTATGCAGAAAGTAAGAGTCGCAGTAGTGTGAAAGACCTGAATGAATTCAGATTTCAATGCCACCTGATATCCTGGAATAACAGAGGAGAAAGGAAGCCGGAGGTGTAGTTTTGTATGTCAGTGAAAATGTATAGTGGAAGGAATTGCACTTGTCAGCTCAAGAGAGCCATAATGAATCAATTTGGGTTGAAATAACAGAAGGATTAGAGGACTTATAATGTTAGTGCACTATGCACCTTCACTGCAGGACAGACAGTGGAATGAAATTTGATGATGAGATAAGGAAGGCATTAAAAGATAACAGGATTATGATTATTGGTGATGCCCTTCAAAATATGTATGATAGAGACAGAAAGGAAGGGCACAGTGAAGCAAGGCTGAGCAAATGTTCTGCTTTTCCTCTCTGAATCTGGTTCCACTTATGTGTGTGTGCGCAATATTCATGGAGAGAGATGAATAACACTAAGTGACTATCAAATTCCCTCCAGTGGGGAAGAGGAGGAGACTGCTCTGGTTGGAATTTAAAGGGTATCAGTATTACAGGATAAAGTGCCTGTCTTTCTTTGGTTCTTATCTCTAAAAGAGCTCCTAGCTTTTCCACAGTCTGGAAGAAGAGGAAGCAGAGGAGGGAGCTCCTGGCAAATTCACTGCTGCCACCCACTTCTCGAGATACCCCATGTTTGTGAGACTAGTGACAAGCCAACATTATGTGAGTTCAGGAGCGCCACAGAATACACCTGGGATCAGTCTGGCCCACTGTGTTCATGTTTTCCTCAGTCAATATCTGGTCAATAGATCCAGATATTCCCCTCAACATAAATCAATAGCTGCTTGTTATACCCATTTTATGTATGGGTAAATGGAGACAGTGAGTTGCCCAAAGCTACTTAGCAAGTCAGGGGTTGCCAGAAACAGAACACAAGCGTCTGGCCTCCCAATCTCATACTGTAACTTCTAGGCAATCCTATCTTTCATCTGCGTATGCTTTTGCATATAAATATTTTGGGCCAGACTGGCCGCCTTTATGATGTGTGCAGATTGTGGGTGGATTGCTGCATAAT